TGAAGGACGTTAAAAAATACAAAATATTATCTTTAAAAATAATTATTTTATTTTATTTAATTAATAAAAAAATAATTGTATTTATTAATTATTAATTAATAAATAAATATTTTCAAATACTATTCGTAAAAATAAAGACAAATGACTTTAACATTTCTGATGGTAGCAATAATCATGCTCTGTTCCCTCCAATAATTTTGAAAAATTACTCAATTTTTATTACTCTACTTATTTAAAATAATAAATTATATTTTTTGAGTTTTTGACATTTTGTAAAAGCAAAATAATGACCCATTAAAAAAAAAAAGGGGAAAAGCAATGCTCAGAGTAATTACAGAGTATAGACATATATAAATGTCATCGTATATCCAAAAAAGAGGTTTAGATAGATCACGATGATTTTTACAACTGCTCAACATATACGCATACATAATCTTATTCCCATGTGTTACGTAGTGCTAGTAAGAGCCAATGAAAACACAATCAGCAAAATCTCTAGAGTCAAATCTTTGTTTCTTGTCAAGAGTTTTTTCCTTTTGTTCACCAAAAATAGATATATGAACCATCTTTTTGATATTTTGACAATTGTGTATTTGTTCAAAACTGTAATGGTTGATCTCTAGTTCTTGTAAGATGTTGCGAACCGTCTCCATGATAGCAAGATGAGATCCAATTCTCCAGTATGATGCTTGTTGGATTGGATAGGTCTCGTTGAAGCAGTTCTCATTACCGCATGGCTTCCATCCTTCCCTTTGATGCATGTTGCAGTAGCAGTTAATGTCATTCCAAAAAAGGCACAGAACCAATCCTGCATAAGGAAAACAAAAAGACATTTACCATTGATAACATATATAAATAGAGACATTGACAACCATAAATAACATCATGTATACAATTGCATGTATTCAGTCAATAAATATGATCAACCAAAATGAAAGGCTAACATAACCGTAACTAAAGTAAAAATGCAAAAAGCTTGCATACCTAAGAATGATCAAAAGGCCATATACATCAACTTTTGTCAATAAATCAACATATCATTTTCAATATCATAATGAACAACTGGGGCAAGTGGTGGCCAATCTGCAAAACAAAAAATCATAAGGCAAGTTTAGTTTGTCATGGCATGAATGAGAAGCTAATAGACCATCAAAGGAAATAGAAACAGGCCACAAAGTGGATATTATGAGTAATCAATAAAAAATAACATCAAATGCAAGTTACCTCTTGCTAACGCCTCTTCTCTCCTCTTCACCTACTGTGTTGTATATTCCGGAAGAAACAAATGAGTGAAACTTGTAGAAGTCTGCACGTTTCACAAGTTCAATCTCTCTGATATACCTGCTGTTGTTGGTTAAGTTCAACTGCCATGGCCAATCTCCCTCACTTTCCTCTTCAATTCCCAAGAAACAAATGAGTGAAACTTGTAGAAGTCTGCACGTTTCACAAGTTCAATCTCTCTGATATACCTGCTGTTGTTGGTTAAGTTCAACTGCCATGGCCAATCTCCCTCTCTTTCCTCTTCAATTCCCAAGATAATTTGAACACTATAAATCAGAAAACCATAATCACTGCTCAATTTCATAAAACAAGTGTGAAGTGGCATGCAAGGAGATGGAATTAAATAAATACACTAACCTTAAAACTGGGTCTAGTAACTGTAGCAAGAGGGATATCATGATTTGCATCATAACCATAGTTGAGAGCAAGTGGTTCTAGAGGAAGAGGTGAAAGCCTTGAAGGGTTCTACAAATTCACAATCATTAATCAGTAATCAGAATCATATAAATTCAAAAAGAATAGAGGATTAACATATAAAGGATTAACTTCTGCTACTTCATCAAAAGGGTTTATAACAGCTTGATAACTCCCTATAATATCATCATCTTCACAATTTGGGGATTTGGGATGTTTCTTAATAAAAAACAGCCAGTGAAACATACCACAGGTGTGTGTTATGGACATAGAGGACTGATGTTGGATTCTAACCAATTTGCCAAACTTTCTAATTTTACAAGTAGTTGTCACGTTATATTCTTGAACAATCCCCCGAGTTCCATAATTGAAAAAAAAAAAAAAAAGAAAGGAAGGAAAACCAAAACCCAGGAAGAAAGTTAGAATGTAGACTAACCTATTGGATTCCAAAACAAAAACTTGCTCTAGGAGCCAAAAAAAACAAAGAATTTGGATGGAATAGACGGCCTTAGATAAAAAACTAGAAACTTACATAACATTGATCTGAAGCCTGTTACACTTGTACATCCACCAGACTAGCTTCACACACCAACACATCAAACTCCTTTCTTCCTCTTGTCATGTTTGGCTATGGCAACAAGGTTTAGAAAATCTAGAAGAATTTGGATGGAATGGAAAGCATTAGATTGAAAATTGGAAACTTACATAGCATTGATTAAGGCTTATTACACTTGTGCATCCATCAGAGATAGCTCTCAAACAGCAACACATCAACTCCTTCCTAGCTCTTGCCATGTTTGGCTATGGTAGCAAGGTTCACCAGTCATCTCAAGACAGTATGATATGTTGCATGGTATGAATCAGACTCCATTATGAAGGGAACCCAATAGTACTCAATTGATGCATTGTACTTCTGAAACATATTAGGATTTGGATTTGGAGAGGGGGTTCAGAAGTTTAGATTGGGGATAATCCACCATATGAATTAAAAGAAATAACTAATAACTGAACAGATGAAAATTGTTAATGATGAGATTGAGACCATATGTCATTTCTAAGGAAAATCTAACCTGTGAGTTTAAGTCCCCTAAGAAGCCTTATGGTAACTTGGAAGATTGTTCATCAACCAGGAAGACATAATTATAGATTATTCCAACCCACTGCCATGTTTTCCAAACAAGCTTTGCAAGTAACCTAAACAAACAGTGAATCATGAGTATGTGTCTCCATGCTTGTGACTTGGGAATATGAACTTCAACTACATTTTTTGAGAGGAAAGGGATTCACCTCTTCACAACATTTCAAAACATGAAAAAGTGACTCAGCCACTTGTAGGAAGCTAGAAAACGATGCTAATTTTTATTAGGAACTTTCTCTTGTACAGAACTTTAAGCTTAATAACCTAAAGCAAAGAAGTCAATTCCGTACCATACCGGCCGGTATGGTCGGTATGTACCGGTTTTGACACTTGACCGAAACGGTACAACATCAAATTTCGTTTTGATCAAAATTCGACCATTTTGGTCAAAATCCGGTGTACCTGCCGGCACACCGAAATATGACCGGTACACCTAAGTTCAAACTATATAAAAAAAAAAAAAAACAATGGATTTCCGATTGCAGATATGTTTCTGTTCTCCTTCTTCATCACGAACGACGAACGCCACACGCCGCACGCCGCGAACGTCTTCCTCAACCTGTTGCCGGTGGGTTGGAGATTCAGTGAATGCTTCGCTTCCGTGATTACTGGCTAGATCTGCTTCATCTTCTCCCCATTTCTGGTAGCTGCCGAACCCTTCTGCTTTGGTGATTATCGGTGATGAAGGTGGAGGCTATGATGATGATGAGATGCTCAGCAAGGGGATGGTGAAGATCCGAGGTGAAAGAACGGAGGTGATGGTGGCAATGGTGGATCTGCAGAAGGGAGAAAAATCAAATTTTTTTTTTTTTTTTTTTTTTTTTTTTTTTTTTTTTTTTTTTTGTCTTTTTGGTTTGGCAGCCGCAAACCCTCCTTCTCCCTTTTAAAGGAGGAAACTAGGGTTTTCTTAAATTTGGGTTTTGATGGGCTGCTTAATATTGGGCTGGGCTTATGGGTTTATTTTAATAAATTTCATCCTCAGCTTTTTAATTTTTTCAATTGAGTCCTTTTCTTGTTTTTTTTCTTCAACTTCTCCCCAAAATTTTTCATAAAATTTTTTTATAACGATAAATCCGAAACGGTACGTGAAAAATTTCGGTATTCGGTACGTACCGTTTCAATAACAAAATCGGTACGCATGCCGGTACGGTATTGACTACTTTGACCTAAAGTAAACAAGAACCATCAATAACCAAGATATGTGCTGTTACCAAAATAATAAAAATCAAAACATTTGACACCAACATATAATTTTTCCAACCCACTGCCATGTTTTTCAAACAAACTCTTCATGTAACCTAAACCGTTAGCAATCATGAGTATGTGTCTCCATGCTTGTGACTTGTAAATGTGAACTTTAACTGCATTCTTGGAAAGGAAAAATTCACCTTTTTGCACAATTCATGATCATGACACCAAAAAGTTTTGTAGGAAACCTGAAAATGGTACCAATTTTTATCAAAAACTTTCTCTCGTACAAAGCTTTTAGATTAAGAACCCAAAAAGCATACCCAAAAACCTAAAAACTTCCTCTCCTTAAGGCCTTATTGGAGCTAATTTACCCAGCAATTAAAGTGGGCTCATTTTTCAGCCAGGCGTACCCCATAACCAAATTATAAAAAGAAAAAAATATAAAACAAAAAAAATTCAATAAAACCCTCATGAATACATAGAAATTAAGAAGCAAAAGAAAATGAAGAGAGTGAAATGGAATTGTCAAGTCAAAATACCTAGTGTTTGGATGTCTAACACTTTCTTTGAGGTCTGATTCTTCAGCTCAGCACATAATTTTCCAACCAATCTTTCTGTCATTGAGTAAGGGTGGCTTTTGATTTATTCGGAAAGCAGATGATTTCGCTAGAACTATAGAAATTGTTTCTTTCAACAAGTAAAATAACACAAGATCGCAAAATGATAGAAAAATTGAAAAAAAAAACAGACTGTCTAGATAAGGTTAAATAAAAATATATATAAAAAAGAAAATAAAGAAATAATATTAAGGTTCCTCCAACCACATAAATTAAACAATCTTATCATCCACAATTTTTTATCTTGTTAGATGAGCAAAGTGGAATATGAATCTAAACAAAAAAACTAAATAAAGTAATAATCAAATCAAAATAGAGATAGTGAAATCAAAACACTTACTGGTTGGAGTTTTTGAGGGAGCAGATGCTGCATATCTTTGTCTTCTAGAACATACCCACTTAGGGTTTCCATCTCAAAAACATTGATCTCTTTCTCTTCTAGAATACCCGATTGTTTTTGTTGTGGAAGGAATGAACGAACTGAGAAATTGCTTTTATTGGCATGTGTTATTGAGGTGGCAAGTGACTTTAACTTCTAGAAAGTTACGATTTGTCTACTCAACAACTCCCTTTGCATTTGCAGCTTGCAGCTCTTCATTTCACACTACACAAATTATTTCCCAAATTTTCAGCAACTTACTGTAATATATTATCAAATCAAATTCAAATTAGAATTAAATTGTAGTGAATCAATCGACAACACCTTACCCTCAAACCCACGGATGTGTAGAATATTTCAAGAAAGGTTTAAGGAGGTTCTTAGCATTGGGATGATCCCACTCCACTGACTCCCACTATTCTTTTGACTCTTCATCTATCCTGATTTCTCTGAGACGAGGAGGAGGAGATGCTTGGCCATTATCAAGCAGGGGAAGCTGCACAGGGATCCTCTTTAACTCCCGACATTCAAATATTACAATTAGTTCAATAGAATCACAAACCACAACTCTTTTGGCAACGCAAATGCTCTTCAATTGGGGTCAATAAGCCAACAGCAATATTCTTAAATTGTTTCCTTCCGTCTGGATTGCAATGATAGAAGAGGAATTGGAAAACAAATAAATAAATAAAATCAACATTCTTAAAATTAGAAATGAATACTTAATCAATCAACACCTTACCCCTCAATCATCAGCGAGAATATTTCAAGAAAGGTTGAAGTAGCTTCTTATGATCCCACTCCACTGATTCCCACCATTCTTTTGCGTCTCTATCTAGCTCGATTTCTCTAGGATGAAGAAGGGGAGATGGTTGGCCATTATCAAGCAAAGGAAGCTGCACAGGGATCCTCTTTAACTCCCGACATCTGCATATTTCAATTTTTTCAATACAATCACAAACCATAACTCCTTTGGCACTACAGATGCTCTTCAATTGGGGTAAATTCCTCAAGGACAATCTCCTTAACTTGGGAAAAGTGAATTTATCTGATGATGCATCTGAATCTGATGATGTTATTATCTCCTCCATTTGGAAGCAATAGATAACTCTAATCTCCTCTAAGTTTTGGAGGGCCTGCTGTAGCTCAAGTGGAAGCAATTTCCTCATTGCTAGACAATTTGCTATTACAAGTGTTTTAAGATTGGAAAAGATGTGCGGTGGTGTTGCTGCTCCTTCCACTCTCACAAGTTCACATAACTTAGGCAACATATTAAGCTCCAACAGTTCAAGCTTATCAAGTACTGGACAACACAATGAGGAGGAAGTGGATGAGTCCAACTCAACTACGCACTTTATCCCTGCACTATACCAAATACGGCACCGTCTTAACTCATTTGCTTCCATTTCTAACATAACTGTTTTGTTTAAGCTGCTTCTCATGTTTGTAACCCTACTTATCCATAAATCCTCAAGGTTATTCGGAAGCACTACACATTCTTCCCCGATCTCGCATTTAATAATTACAAGCTCAGATTTGCTCTGTCTCACCATGTCTCTTACTATCCCAACTCCAAGACTGTAAGCAATAGCACTTTGGAAATCTTTGAACTTGTTGACAAAATGATTAAAGTCTTGTATGCCATCAAATTGACATTCTAAAGTCTCCAACTTCTTCAATCTAGCAACCTCTTCTAAATTTCTTATTATTGTAGTTTCTCGCAAACAACATACTCCCAAGTACTGGAGACTAGAAAGGTTAGGTAATATTCCTGTTGGAATATCTTTCAAATTTTGACAAAATAACAAATCCAGATATTCAAGACTTATCAACATCCCCATGCCTTGAGGGACCACCTCAATCCCTGCCTTGTGCAGGTCCAACTTCTTCAATCCCCTGAGGTTTGCCAAGGAAGGCAAGTACTTTAACTTCACGCAATGCTGTAACCGCAGGGCAGATAGATTCTCCAATTTAGAGATGGAATTAGGTAGGGTCTCAATAGCAGTGCGAGAGAGATCAAGAACCTTCAAAGCAAGCATCTCTTCAAAAAAAGATTCTGGAATCTCTGACAAATTAGGATTACTTGATAATATCAAAGTCGAAAGGCTCAAACACTTTGGGGGCAGACTAAGAGGAACTTTTGAAATGTTATTTTCCATTAGAGACAACTTCTTAGTATCTTTTACCCAATCATGTTCATCCGGTAGCTCTACCAAATTCATACCAGTTTTTATCATATATCCAAATTCTGGACCAATGCCTATGATAGCCATGTCTCTCACTACATCGTGCATCTTAGCACCAGCAGCACTACCAAATAAACGTCCAAATGGATGTCTAAATGCAATTCTAGGTGGCAAAAAAGTTTTCTTCTCTAATAAGAAATTCTTTTCAAGCCTATCTATAATAGCATGGCCCCTATTACAAGCTGCTTCTCTACTTGGCAACCCATCAATCAGTCCTTCATCAATCCAACATTCTATCAACTCCCTTCTAGAAAACACATAATCCTCTCGAAAGAGGGAGCAATAAAGAAAACAACTCTTGACTTGCAAACTATCCAACCGATCAAAACTAAATCTTAACCGCTTAAATATCTCATCATTTGAATCTTTCACACTACTTACACGAACTTGTAATTCAGTCAATTCATTTCTCCACACATTAACATCATCAACTCCCCTCATGCTTCCAGCTATCACAACAAGGGCCAGTGGCAAGCCGGCACACTCTCCCACAATAAGCTTTAAGATTTCTTCCAACCCTGGAACTTGTAAAACACTATCCCCAACTGTATCGAGGAATAACTTTAGAGACTCCTCTTGTGAAAGAGGTTTCACTTCAACAATCTTACAACGCAAATAACTGCATACTTCACTTGATCTACTAGTGACAACTACTTTGCACCCATTCTGCACATTCGGATCTGGAATTCCAACTTTCTTAAGAGAGAACTTTTGCCATACATCATCTAATATTACCACATACCTCACTCTTGTCATTATTTCCATTAATGCTGCTGCTCGCATCTTCTCCTCTTCATCATCTCGAAGTCTTTCACCCATAGCATTAGCAATCTTATTTTGTAATTTAAAAACATTGAGAGGATCTAATACAGTAACCCAGATCACTTTCTCAAATCTAGTCTCCTTTTGTAAATCATTGTGGAGATTCTCCATAATTGTAGTCTTTCCAACTCCACCAATCCCACAAACTCCGATCATTCCAACCTCATCACCCATCAAGTACCCCCAAATTTCTTCTTTAATAGAAATTTGCCCCACTAAATTCTCTGTTGGAATTATGTTTCCATGAGCTGGAGCCCTCTCAATAACAAGGCCTTCAGGAAAAGTACCTTTATCAAGCATTTCCTTCACCGTATTAATTTTTCTACAAACAAGTCTGTCAAGACAAGCACGCTTGTACCACTTGACTGCCTGCATCTTTTCCAAAAATGCCCCCACTTTAACATTGATCTCTTTTGCTTGCTTAAGCCATTCTTGCACTTGTTGTCTAACCATTTGTCCCCTGCAAGCCTCTGCTTCTTGTATTCTTGATTCTATATCTTGTTTCTGGCTAGTTAAAATGACCAATTTTCTTCTCAGGTCATGCACATCATCATTAAAATTTCTATGTTGATCTATACAGTTGCAGGTTGGAGTACCACAAATGCAACTCAATGCACTGAAGATTGTTCCTACTATTTCCACCGCCATTAAAAAAAGGTCCTGAAACATAATAAATAATGTGAATAAAAATATACTTCTTCTAGTGTTCGTCAACA